CCGAGAGAGAAGCCTTTCCAATGTACCAGCTAAAGACAGATTATGATAAATTACATCTGCACTTCCTGCTAAATTACATTTTTTTTAAGGTTCTTAAGGAAATGGATAATAAAGAAAATCTCCCTTTACTTGCCAGCCCTAAAGATGAAGAAAATGGGTTTTAGGGTAAATTAAATTCATCTTCTTTTAGTCCCCTTCTGCAAAAAAAAAAAACAAAAAAAAGTACGGGCATGGCACGTGTGGTTGCACCTTGTCACGTTATTGATGATGATCAAACTGAAACATCTGTAATAGCGCTTTCTAGGGAAACTAGTTTGCATGCCCATACTGAAATGCACAGAAGTCACACTACTGTGCAAATACACCTCCAGCAAGACATGTTTTACAAGTCTAGTTATTTCAAATAATCTGCCCCATTCAAATATTTCTAACAGACTATCCGTCAGTAAAAACGATATACAGCTCTATATCAAAGTAACTAAGAAAAAGATAAAAAAAAAAAAAAAAGAAAAGTTTCAGGAGGGCGCCTGGGTGGCTCAGTCGGTTAGGCGACTGCCTTCGGCTCAGGTCGTGATCCTGGAGTCCCGGGATCGAGTCCCACATCGGGCTCCCTGCTCAGCGGGGGGTCTGCTTCTCCCTCTGACCCTCTTCCCTCTCATGCTCTCTGTCTCTCATTCTCTCTCTCTCAAATAAATAAATAAATAAATAAATCTTTAAAAGAAAAAAAATAATTTCTTTAGGGCGCCTGGGTGGCTCAGTCGTTAAGCGTCTGCCTTCGGCTCAGGTCATGATCCCAGGGTCCTAGGATCGAGTCCCACATTGGGCTCCCTGCTCAGCAAGAAGTCTGCTTCTCCCTCTCCCATTCCCCCTGCTTGTGTTACTGCTCTCGCTATCTCTCTCTCTGTCAAATAAATAAATAAAATCTTAAAAAAAAAAAAAAAAAGAAAAGTTTCTTGGCTACGGAAAGAATAAGGAACAAAGTGGTTCATTTGGGAATTAGCAATAGGATCTTACAATTCCATCTCAAAAGTTTCAGTCTCATCCAAGTTATATTTTCAAATTCCTTCTATTTCATAACTGGTTTTTTTTTTATTTGACAGAGAGAGAGGCAGGAGAGAGGGAACACAAGCAGGGGGAGTGGGAGAGGGAGAAGCAGGCTCCCCGCGGAGCAGGGAGCCCGATGCGGGGCTCGATCCCAGGACCCTGGGACCATGACCTGAGCCGACAGCAGATGCCTAACGACTGAGCCACCCAGGGGCCCCTATTTCATAACTGTTAAGTGAGTGAAAGGGAAAGTAGTAAGAAAGGGATCTAATCCAGGTCACGGATCCGTGCCAAATTTCCCCAAGAACTGATTTTTATTAAGGTCACTGTCAGTTAAAGCTGATCTCAGAATAAACACACTGTACTCTAAAATGTCCTGCAGCAGAAGAAAAAAATTTGCCAGAAGATACCCACAAAATGTACACTCACCTCAAAACATAACACAAAAATAATACATTCAGGGCCCAGTAAGGAGATCTTAAAGAGTTTACGTTTTAAAAAGAAGTCTAAGCACTAATGAAACGACTTCCTACGATATCCTAAAATACGGATTCTTCTTTTTTTTTTTTTTTTTTTTAAAGATTTTATTTATTTGAGAGAGAGAGAATCAGAGATAGCATGAGAGGGAAGAGGGTCAGAGGGAGAAGCAGGCTCCCCGCCGAGCCGGGAGCCCGATGCGGGACTCGATCCTGGGACTCCGGGTTCATGACCTGAGCCGAAGGCAGTCGCTTAACCGACTGACCCACCCAGGCGCCCAATACGGATTCTTCTTATGGAAGACATCAAGGCATGGGCTGGACCACCCGGTAGCTCCTCACGACAGGCCTGGCCGACTGGACAGGGAAGTGAGGTCACTGGGCTGGAAGCTTCCCTACCCAGCAAGCTTACCCCCCTAGGCCCTCTCCTGAGTGATTAACTTGCATATTTGGGAAACTAAACAATAACACTAAAACAACGTTAAGTGTATACATATTCACGCACACATGCACACAGCGGTTTGGAAGTTACTGCTGAAGCCGACAGCTGGGCCTCACAAAGACAAAGCACGGCCGCACCACTCCAGGGGCGAGGTAAGGCTGGCTTCACCAGCACCTCGCTCTGACCTGTCCCACGAGGCTGTGTGCCGCCCAGGCACTTGGGTCTGCTTACTGTTGCATTAACTGGAGTCAAATCACATCTGGAAAACCCTAAGTTCCCCACTCTCCCTCCAAATGCCAAAAAAAGCCCATCAGAATCCAAAGTAACAGACTCGGAACGGATTTGACAGCAGCTTCAGCTTTGTGAAAGTGGGGGTCCGAAAAATGCATGAGGCCATCAGGACCAGAGAAAACCCAAACCATGGGGCATCGTCAGGAAAGGCAAATTGGTCTTTTTTGTTGCCGTATCCCGGCCCCAGAAGGATGCCTCGAATGTACAAGATGCCTCCTATTTCCTGAGGGAGCAACCCAGGACCCCCGCAATGCCTGCTCCTGGGGACTGAGCCGCAGCCAGGACCCAGGTGGAGGCTGACACTTCTATAGCTCCAATGGACCACCGTGGAATTCTGCTGATCTCACGAAGAAAGATCTCTTACACGTTAACCCCTCTCCAGAAACTTACTGCTCATTAATGCACCAGGCTGATAAGAACACAGAGGATGTTTTTAACCATCAACTGTTTTCTATTTTAGGAGAGAACACCTTTTGTTTCATGTGAGTTTTAGTGACTACTTTGGGAGAAACCATCCAGGGATCAAGAAGACATGATCTCATGACTGCCACCTCCTTGTCACCTGTCCCCGCAGTTCTCAGTGGCCCCCTCCTGCTGGTGGTGGCATCCTCACGGTCTAGGCAGAGCTGTGTGACGGCATCCTCCTCTCTCCCAGAAAACAGGGTGCCAAGAAGAGCAGCGAGTCACTGAAGCCTGCACACATCCGGCCAAACACACCCAGCAGGCGCCACCGCCCTTTCCTATCTCTCACTGGGCTGTGTTCTCGTAGAAAAGCCACCTAAACCCTCAAATTACACACTAAAATCAACTTCACCCCCCAGAACTCCAGAATCTAGAAGAGAAAGAATGGGGTACATGCAGCCTTCCTCTTTCCACCCCCTGTGCCTCAGTTAAAGAGAAGATAAAGAACATGACCTCTGACATCACACTGAACAAGTCTATAAGATGGAAGGTTTTAGGTCGCAGAATTCAATGTCGTAGAATTTGGACTGTAATGACCTTCAGGCCAAAAACTTTACAACCAATTTTCTGTTTCCTGTGGCTCTGATTCATTGTGAAATTCAGAGAAAACAGCGAACCAACCTTGACTACAAAGATATTATTAAGTCCCAGACTAGGAAAGTCCTCCTAAGGCATGCATATGAATCAGAGCCTGCTGAGCACTCTGGCAAAAAAATTGCATTTAAAAATCACAAAGACTTTTATACTTATTCTTCAAGGACACAGTTAATAACTATGATTAGGGTGCCTGGGTGGCTCAGTTGGTTAAGCGACTGCCTTCGGCTCAGGTCATGATCCTGGAGTCCCAGGATTGAGTTCCACATCGGGTTCCCTGCTCCGCAGGGAGTCTGCTTCTCCCTCTGACCCTCCCCCCTCATGTGCTCTCTCTCTCTCTCTCTCAAATAAATAACTAAAATCTTTAAAAAAAAATAATAATAATATGATTAAAATGGATAAGAAAACAAACTCAAAATAAGCCCCAGAGCCCACATCACGTGACATGGGCCCAGAGTGGGACTGCTCCATCAGAACGTGAGCATTCTTGGGGTCCAGGAATCCAAGCAGTTATCTGGGAGGGCTGGGGACATGGAGAGATCATGGCTGGGACAGGATAGGACTCGTCCTCAGCTTGGAGGACTGGGGCAGATCATGCATTCTCAAGAACTGGGGCAGTCTCTGGTGAACAGATCAAACTTCAAGATGCCATTATCTAGGACACCTGGGTGGCTCAGTGGGTTAATAAGCATGTGCCTTCAGCTCAGGTCATGATCCCAGGGTCCTGGGATCGAGTCTCGCATCAGGCTCTCTGCTCAGGGAGCCTGTGCTCTCTCTCTCTCTGCCAGGTAAATAAATAAAATCTTTAAAAGAAAAAAAAAGATCCATTACTTATTAAAATCCAAGCTTACTAAGATCGTACTGCTAAACCTGCAAGTACATTCTTCTTTTCCAAAAGACAAACCAGTCCAAATGCCTGCCAGTCTCTACGTGCAGTTCAGGCAGGCAGGTCCTCCTCTCAGACCCAGTTTCAGATCAGTAGGCTACCCGTAAGCAGAGAACCCGAGAAAGGATCCCACGTATTGTGGAGGGATGCTTCACTCGCACCACAACAGACTCGTACAATCTTCTTTCTCCATGCTGAAAACGTATCACTCATTCAAATTATTTTCTGCGCCGTGACACTGTTCCCAGTCCGGGGTTAGGACAATGAACAGGAAATACTAAGGGCCTGTCCTCGTGGAGTTACAAAACTGGACAGGGGCAGCAGCTCTGACAGAGCTCCCCAGGGAAGCAGAAACCAGCCGACAACAGGCTGACTTCAGCACCCTTCACTATCTCTGGTTATGACCCATTTCGTGCCTCAATGACTACCCTGGAACATTCTGTTTCTCCAGAGGAACTCCTCTCGCTAGCCACCAGGTCTGGGTCCCGCGGGAGCCTGTCACTCCAACGCAGGAGGAGAACCCTGCCGCGGGGCTGCTGTGTGCTAGGCACCACACAACGCAGGTTTACCTGGGCTCCCTCTCATGCTCTTCAGGCCACCTGGAGAAGGTGTGCACCTCCATCTCATAAGTGAAGACACTGAAGAGCAAGAAGCTTAGCAATCCGTTCAAGTCAGTGACAGCAAGTGTGACCATGTGTTAAGCCCCCCTGCCTTCTCTACCAGGCCACCTGTCGTCTACCAACTCCACGAGCACAGAACAGACCCTCACAGGTAAAGAAGGCGGAGGGTCAACACGGACACATACCTGGTGAGCACAGCGCCTTGGAGGTGGATTGGGGATCTCCACTTTGGTCCAGGAGTCCTTCCTGATATTGTAGATGTACAGTTCATTATACATAAATGTCTGCAAAAAGGAAGAGGGACTTCGTGTCATCAATGAAGCCTCCATGCAAGTGACAGTAAGTGGAAAGCAGGATCTCAATCACTAGTTTTCCCCAGGAAATGGGTTTCCTAAAGCCACGTAAATCATACCAATGCAGGAAGCCTGCGGCTGGGCCCCTCGGATCCTTTGGGATAATGACAAAGAAAAAAACTATCTGCCCACCATGCCTATCAGCACGTAAGGTACCAAGATCCTTTGCTGCTCGGCAAGTCATCTCTCAAAGTCAAGCCTGGTTCTTAAAGGATGAGAATTCAGAGTGGGAGATGAACAAGTTAAGTCAAACTCACAGGGATCCTCAGCATGGAGGGAAGGCAAACTCAGGCTTTTCTAAATGTTTCATACACAATTCTGAAACACAGGTCTGTCTGGCCTGCTCAAAAATGAAAATTAGCTCTATAATTTATCAGCACTTTCTTCCACTATTCAAAACAACTCTGAAACCCATCATGAGCATATGAATAATCAACCCAAGTGAGCAGTGTGCTGGTCGATCTCAAGCAGGCAGTAAGAGCAGTGACTCTAAAGCTCACTGAAGGATCCTGGTGGCTTCTCAGGGACAAGGTCGCATGCCAGTCCTACAGGCTCAGGAGGTGGGACCAATGCATATTTGATATCATGGCTTTAAACTAATTTTACTCAAAATGAGATGCATGAAAATTTGAGGAGAAAAGAAAAAAATATATACTTTACTTTTTGGCCATTGAAATATTCACCTCCGAAAAGGATTAATTCGTCTTTCTCAGGATGAGCAGAGAGTGAGGCATGTAACCTACAAGAGACAGAAGCAGCAGTTCAACACACAATACAGCCACGTGGCGCCCAGCTGAGAGCCGGCCTCCTTTCCACCAGAGGGCCATATCAGCTCCCCAGACTTCTGTGAAAGACAAGCCTGGCCCTGGGAACGGAAGCTAAGGCCCCTAACCCTTAAAATCAACCTCACAGCCACAACACCAGGAGGGCCCCGGACCTGGGTGACTCACACAGCATTTGGGTAAAAACCATCAGGCAGTGAGAAGTCTAAGTGTTCCTAATTTAAGTGCCACATTTCCCACAGCTAACTTTTTACAGGTCTATCCTCTTAAATCACAATCAAAACTGTTCTATAGGGACGCCTGGGTGGCTCGGTTGGTTAAGCATCTGACTTCAGCTCAGGTCATGATCCCAGGGTCCTTGGGATCGAGCCCTGCATTGGGCTCCCTGTCAGCAGGGAGCCTGCTTTTCCACTCCCTCTGCCTCTCCCCACTGCTCATGCTCTCTCTCGCTCTGCGCTCTCTCTCCAGTAAGTAAAATAAGTAAATAAAGTAAGTAAAATAAGTAAATAAGTAAATAAACAAAAAGTAAATCTTTCACTGTTTAAAAAGTCCAGTACTGGGACACCTGGGTGGCTCAGTCGGTTAAGCATCTGCCTTCAGTTCAGGTCATGATCCCAGGGTCCTGGGATCGAGTCCCGCATCGGGCTCCCCGCTCTGCGGGGAGCCTGCTTCTCCCTCTGCCTCTCTCTATCTCTCATGAATAAATAAATAAAATCTTAAAAAAAAGTCCAGTACTTAAACATTGCAATATGTATCCAGATAGCTTCCACCTAAAAAACACAAATAGCTTCCTACTTACATCACACACGAGGCCAAAAGACCAGCTAAAAGGAAACTTTAAATACACGTGGACCATCTCAGTAGAAAGTAAGACAGTGATGGGGGTGGGAGGGCAGGACAAACAATCACTGGAAAATCCCCTTCTTTCAAAATCCCTCATGTGGACTTCCTCAGGGGGCAGACTATAACAGTAATTTCAGAAGATACTTCGTAAAGGAAGACAAAGGTTTCAAGGTCAGATAAGTTTGAGAAATCGGACAACTCTTTTTCTCTTGGAAATTTACTGTACACAAAAACATTTTATAGGTTTAGAAAGTTTGCCGTCAAGAAACCAATGTTATAAAATAGGACTATGCTGGGGCATCTGGGTGGCTCAGTGGGCTGAGCGTCTCTTAATTTCAGCTCAGGTCGTGATCTTAGGGTTGTGAGATCGAGCCCTGTGCTCGGTGTGGAGTCTGCTTGAGATTCTGTCTCTCCCCCTCTGCCCCTCCCTCTGCTCATGCTCTCTCCCCCTCAAATAAATAAATAAATCTCAAAAAAAAAAAAAATTGGACTACATCGTGGGAAATAGTCTCACAGTTAAACACAGAATTAGCACATGACCAGCAATTCCACTCCTAGGTACGTACGTGCCAAAGAAACCTGTAAACAGGGACTCGAAGAGACACCTGCATGCCCACGTTCACTATAGCACTACTCACAGGGGCCCAAAGGTGGAAACAACCCAAGGGTCTATCGACAAGATGAAAGCGGTGCATCCATACAATGGAGTATTATTCCGTCTTAAAAAGGAATGGAGTTCAGGTTCATGCTACAACATGGATGAACCTTAAGGACATTATGCTAAGTGAAAGAAGCCAGACACAAAAGGACAGCCGTTGTGAGACTCCACTTATGTGAAATATCTAGAAGAGGCAAATCAAACACCAGGAAGTAGTGGTCACCAGGGGCCAAGAGGAGGGGCATGGGGAGTGACAGCTCATGGGTCCAGAGCACCGTGAATATAAGGAATCCCACTGAACAGCACAATTAAAAATGGTTAAAATGGGAAATTCTATGTTAGATATATTTTACCACAGTTTCTTAAAAATTTCAAAAGGAAACCATCTGTTTCCCAAAGTTAACTCCAAATCTTTTTTTCCACTTAACACCTATTAAAATTTTCTGGGGAAAATTAACAAGCACAGCTAGGAAACAGTAATCCAAGTCAGGCACAGAGCCCCCATAGGGTCCCCTCAGGGTCCCTGCCCCCCACACCCAGCCACACACACCCCCTCCGTCATGCACATGGGCACCCTGAGGCTCTGATGCACCTGGTCTATGGTCCTTGCTTCCCCATTAAATTACATCGCAGCCAATACCTGGAAATACATACACTCACAAAACTTGGTAATTTTCATGGTTTTTCCTATAATACGATGGAGGAGGAGGGCGGGAGAAGTTACTAAGGTTACTGACTGGAAGATCTCATTGTATCTCAGCTCCATCAGAAAGCATTCCCAGCTGACCAGGGAAGCACCAAGGTTCCTAATTATATCCTAACATTAAATCTGGCTTTTTGGGCACATTACTTTAGGAAAGTTTTTAAACGTCACCAAAAGGCGGCGGGGTGGGGGGGAATCAATCCACATTCAGAATGGCTTCCCTCAGGGGTGCTGTGGGTACGAAGCCTTCACGATCTCAAGGACTCACTTGCTTTAACCACTCCAAGGACAATGTGTGTCTACCACATGTGTAACTTCTGTGTGGCCTCCGGGATAACACGCCAAATACAGGGGAAAGTACATCCCGGTTCCTGATGTTGTTTCTTACGTGAAGACAGGGACAACTCGCAACTCCGGGAGCTGCTGGATCACGCTTTGTGTCACCCCGTTCTGCACAGGGGCCACCACATCGTCCCCCCCATCTCTGGACAGGGGAGACTAAACCCCGTGTCTGAGGCGGTGGGCTTTGGGCATCAAAGGCACGACCGGCAGCCCCCTCCTGACATGCTGGTCCTGACATGCTGGACCTCCACTCGGGCTGGTGGCCCCTCTAGTAAGATTAATCTCATTTATGTGGCGCCTGGGTGGCTCAGTCATTAAGCGTCTGCCTTCGGCTCAGGTCATGATCCCAGGGCCCTGGGATCGAGCCCCACATCGGGCTCCCTGCTCATCGGGAAGCCTGCTTCTCCCTCTCCCACTCCCCCTGCTTGTGTTCCCTCTCTCGCTGTGTCTCTGTCAAATAAATAAATAATATCTTAAATAAAAAAAAAAAAAGATTAATCTCATTTCTGACAGCAACACTAGTAAGATTAATTTTTATTCTGAGGGAAAGGAAGCGAATTATTTCTCAACCAAACCAGTCTCGTGTGCTTGTGAAGTTAATGCATTTCCCCTTCTCTGAAGATGATATCTTTTCTAGGGTCATTTGGCCTTTCCTGATTCCTAACTCAATGCATTCAGGGTTTTCCCTCTAATCTGTCAGTAGCAAATACAAGAATTAGAGGGCCCTAAATCAACTTTTAACACACCTGGAATTCAGAAGCTGAGAGGACAGCAATTGACACAGAAGAGTAAGAAAGTGGAAAACCAAAGCCTGCTCATTCTGGCTCATTCCAAGTATCTGAAATCCTACCAAAGACTCTGGAGTTCTTCACGTAATTTACAAATTCATTTAAAATGACTTATACATGTTTATGTCTGAAAATCACACTTGTCATTACGAACAGCAACAAGAGACTGTGATCTGAAGTTCTACGCCTGTGACACACACTTCTGAAACATTTTAAGAACTGAAGAGCTCACTGGGGCAATGCTCTCGTCCATGAACTGTGATCAGCTGGACAGCTTTTGAATGGCACAATCCCTGCTGAGTAGCTGAGCCAGGGGACCTTGTTTCTGTGTTTGTGACAACAGATCTGAAAAGCCTCACTCCCATTCTTCAGAAGAAAAGTGAAAAAAACTGCTTTGTGGGAGCTTATCTGGGATGGGAACGGGTTTTAATGAGGAAAACATTCCATGTGCCCAGTTATTTATGAAAACATGGTGCCAATTTAAAGTGGTTTTCCAATGCACACAAATCCATCAGACGCTCGAATGAAGAGTCCTTGCTGGCTTACCTTGGTGAAGGTGGGGGGCATGGTGTCTCCACGATCTGAGTCTTTGTAGCATCCAGTGTCTGGAAATGGGCTATCAGAGCTTCAAGGTCTTCCTAAAGGCAGACAAGCAGTCACACCTGAGACATGTTCTTAAATCCTCCTATGTGGTCAGAAACCTGCGTCAACCTTCCCACTCTGTCTGACCCGCCCGGGGTCCATCACATCCAGGGATGAGCACATGTTCCTCCCATTTCAGGGACACAGACTCTGACACTTGCAAAAATACTCAGAGCTTGACCCTAAAGGCAGTTCTCTCGGAAGTACACAAAGATGCACACACACTGCATATACCACCTCATTCCAAACCCTCACACTCCCCACAAAGGGCCTCCCATTTGGACAAGCCCTCCCTGACTTCTGCCAGCACCTTCCACCACTTCTCATGTGGCCAGGCCTGGCCACCCCACCACATGCTCTGCAGTCTGCATAGCAGTGTCTGCGACTCCCCTGCTCTCTTACTCATTTTGTTTACATCGCCCTCCCGCCAAAACAATAAAAAGGTGAGCTCCAAGCAAGACTTGTCTGTTTAGAACTGTGCCTGCAGGCTGAGAGCTCAGCAGCTATCAGCTGCAGCCAATCTGGGTAAGAAGATCTCTATTCTTACAACTGCAGAAACAGATTTAGAAGTTAATGTGCCAATTTACCTGCCCAGCTGGACAGCACTGGAACCTGGTCTTCCTACTCCCAGTCCAGAGTCATATCCCTGCATCTACTAGTGATCACACTCACTCACTCACTCACACACACACACACACACACACACACCCCAGTAATGTGTGACCTGTGCATCATGGGGAAAGTTTCCCTCCATCCTTATTCTCTTCTTGAATGCTCACTCTCCTCCCCTTGCTCATGCTGGGATCTGAGATGTGTCCCCACCTCCTTCTTCCCTGCTTTGCTCTCCCCAACCCCACAGCCCTCATTCCCCAGTTCCACATTCCACAATGTAGGCAGCTGTCCTTCCTGAACCTAAAAACACTTCCAGACTATCCTATTTCACTTCCCACCCCACCTCCTGGCTCCAAGCTGCAAAGGCTGCCTCAGTTCCTCTCATCAGACCACATTCCTCAGCCTGAACAGCCGCCTGCAGCCCTCCACCTCCCGTGTGTACCCATGTGCCCCCAGGAAGCAGCCACTTTCTGGGAGAGTGCTCCTCACTATTACGCATTTCTTTATACTCTTACTACACGTAAACAAATCCCTAAGTAATACGTATTATCGTTTCACATTTTTCAATTTCATGTCACCTGCATCATATTGGGCATTCTCCTGCAACTTGCTTTTTTGCTCGATGCTGTTGAATGAAGTTTGACACCCCGACTCCAGTCGTGTTCACTGTGGCCGAGTTACCACTCCCTCCCCTCCCGGCTTCTCCACCCATCCTGCTGCTGATGATCATCTGGGTCAATTCCAGGGCTTTGTTTTCACAAACACTACTCTGGTCGTTTTTGTGAAATGTCTTCGTGTAGCTGAAGTTTTTCCAAGGTAAGCCTTCAAGTGCATAACTGCTATGTGGCAGCTTCTACTTTTCTCGATATGGACAAACCAGGATCCAAAGGGGCTCTGCCAGTTTTCACCCTCATGGCGGTCCACAAAAGCAATCACTATCCTGCCACTTCTATGTGAGCAGTTGCCTAAAGACTCTCCTATCGACCACCGCATCTCTAATGCAAAACCGCTGCCTCAGGTAGGCAAGGCAAATTCCTGACCCACTGAACTTTATGGAGACCTGGGTGAAGGGACTGACTGCTGGGAGTCACAGTTACTCCAGAGCGCCTGGCCCAGTGTCGTTCACCTGAGAGATCACCTTCCTGGGGACAAAGGGCTTCAACACGTACAGTGTGGAAGGGGGAGGAACGTGTGTGACACCCAAGTGGAGTTGTCAACCAGGTATCACGTGAGTTCTGTGGTAGGCAGAATTCCCAGTTGTCTCCAAGATCTGCCCTCAGGGCCCCAGCCAGAAAATGATGGGATGCACTCTCATGATGAGGTTACATTATATGACACAGTTGACTTTAAGAAAGGGAGAGTATGCTCTGTGGGCATGACCTCATCAGATGACCAGGGATCTTCAAGATCTGTTATAAGGGCTGATGAAGGCAACACGCAAAGTCCCAGGCCCCAAGCCCGACAGACTCTCTCTCCCCACAGGGGAGCCCGTCATCCCCTAAGCACCGGGCTCTGCAGAGAGATGGGAACACGAGTGAAAACCGGCTAACAAAATTACTGAGTGCTTACTATGTGCCAAGCACTGTTCCAAAGATGCCCCACAAATTATCTTTCTGTGCCACAACCCTACCCAGGCCCGTGCAGTCACACGTGAGAAACTGAGGCACAGAGGTTGCACAGACAGGTCACGCTCCTCTGAGGCCTTCCAGCTAGCTGTGGCAGAGAGGAGATGCAAACCCAGGCCTGTGGCTGCACAGGGAAGTGGTGAAGAACCTTGCAACAGCAGAGCCCAGAGGAAGCAGAAGGAGAAGCCCGACCCCATTACTGGACAGATGAGGACACAGAGACATGAAAGGCTTTGGAGAAAAAAGGAGCAGTGTGGAGTCAGAGCTGGGAATGGGGAACATCTGGTCACACTGTAGCTCAGCGCCCCTTCACAGCTGTGTGACTTCTTGTTTCTGACTTCTTCACCATCAGCTGGGCGTGCCAAAGCTACCGGGCTCACCTGGTCGTCAGGACTAAAGCCCAGGCAGCACAGCACACGCTCGTGAAGCATCATAAATCACCCAGGTGAGGAAGCGCGCGAGCAACCGCCAACAGAAAGCAAAACATCCGCGCTAAACTCAGCACGGATCCATCTGCAGACCGGGCTTGGGGGCGGGGCGGCAGAGACAGAGACTGAGAGACTGAGAGACCGAGAGAGACGGAAAGGAGAGACGGAGGGCGGGATAGAGAAGACAGCGGCGTTCCCAAGAGCTGTTCTGGAAACCCCGCGGTTGCTCTCGCTCCCACCGAAGCTCACGGCTCGGGGCTGCCGTGAGGGGCATTCACCCTCTCTAAGGATGACGACCGAGGCTCGGAAGCTGAGGCCCTCGCCCCAGACCACACCGCCGCCGAGCCGAGCCGCGCCCCTCACCCGGCTCCTCCAGCCCCACCGGCCGAGGGAAGCCCGACGGGACCCGGGACCCCAGCGGCTCGCGCGGAGGGCGCGCCGGGCCTGGCTGCCGGCCTCGCTCACCTCCTCCTTCCGCGAGCGCTTGGACACCTTCTTCTCCATTTTGGCAGCCGTCTTCTCCGCCCCACGGCCCTTCTTCTCCTTCTTGCCCTTCTTGCCCATCGCGCCGGCCCGACGTGGTACCAGGACTCCCAGAGGGGCGGGCAGCGGAGCGCGGCGCGCCGGAAATACGTGCTCGCGGGGGCCGGCGCGCGGAAACGCGACACTTCCGCCCCGCCCCCCCCGCACGCGCTTCCGGCCGGCGGGCCCGCACTCACGTGGCCCGGGTGCTGGGTGTGCGGGGACCGCTGGGGGGCCGTCGGGCTGCGAGGCGCGTCGGCGGGAAGCCGCCGGCTCTCCCCTCCCCCGGGGCCGGCCGGGGCGAGCCGTGGCTTGGCGCCCCGCACTTAGTGACCCAGTTGGGTGACACGGGGCGCGAGCCACCTTCGCTTCTTCCTCGGACCCTCTTAAAATCAAATGACCGCTTCGCCTTCACGCCCCAGAAAAACGTTCCTACACTTTCTCGGATTTACAGACTCTTAGGTGAGGACGGTCCCTCCTCCCGCACGACGAGGGCCGCACGCTGTCTCAGGCGCTCAGGGTACCGTGCCTCCCGCCGTCCCCCGAGTTCCTTACACGTCCCGCCGCGGAGGACCCGCTTCTCCCTCGCGGGAGGACGGCTGATGACCCCTCCGAGGGCGGGCAGCTCACCGTGCCCCGCAAACTGAAGCAGCCTGCCAGCAGGGTGTGCTCCAGGATTTGACTGGAGTACCCTCAGAAATGGGAACGCCGTTTGTAGGGCGTGGGAGCTGTGGTTTGCACGGAGTAGAATGAAAACCTTAACATTATTTAGAAAATGCCGTCTTTGGCTGGTAATCAGGGAAGTAGAGCAAATTAAGGACAAGGACGAGCAAACATCTGGCAAAAGGAAAGCATAAATCACGAAATGATCTAGATTCTTTGTGACTGAACGGACACAGGGCTCAGCCGTAAAGAAACTACCTTGGATCTATATAAATTAATAAAAGGAAACCTCACTAAAACAGAGTGGGGGGCCAGAAGGTCAGTTACAGGAAGCACTGTCCATTGCAGAGCCCAACAGAATCATTACAGGCCCCATAGGGAAAGATGTAGGTTGCATTTTCTGCAAGAAATAGACCACCGCAGCAACTCAGCTGCTGAGAAGTCCTCATTACCCTGGTTGTCTCGTAGGGACGTTTGTGCCCAACAACCCCTCCTAGCTTCCTCCTCCTTCTCCATAAAATAGCACCCCTCTCCTTTATTGGACTTGCCTATGGTTTTGCCGCAGCTTACCTGTCCTGAGTTGCAATTCCTCTGCCATTGCTGAATAAACCCACTTTTGCTAGTAAAATAACTTATTTTTATGGTTAACAGATCCAATCAGATGCTAATCCCCAAAGAGCCAGGGAGGAATGCTTTTCCAACCAACTCCAACCCTTGTCCATAAACCTAGTTATGTAAAAAGAAAAACGAAGTTTGGGAAAACTTTGGGAAGAGGTAGAGGAGGATTCAGGCTGCATCTGTGTCCAGCGCTGCTTGGAGGAGATTAGGAGACCATGTGTGATGATGAAAAAAAAACCAAAAACATGTTTATCAGAAAGGAGCTACAGAATTTCACCGTCAGCTGGCTCCTGAGCCTTCAGACATAATCATCTCTGACAATGAGCTACAGAAGGCCAAGTCCTTACTATTGCCCCTGCTTTCTTTCTAGTGCAATATGACTTTAAGAACATACCTAATCTTCTTGTACTTTTCTAAGAATATTGGATGACCTTGAGGCAATGCACTGGAATCCAAATGGCCCTTGAGTCACAGAGCATCTGTAGGAAATACATTACAGTGGGCCCCTCTTAAGGACTGAGAAAGGGAGAGCATATTCCCTATTAAGATTTAGAAGGGTCTGGTAGATGCAGGGTTTAATGCTTTTATTACCCAAAAGAATCTTCAAGCTGAGTTGGAAGGCTCTTGGCGGATGTGTCATGGTGATTTACGTGAGATTGAAATTCTCATTACCCAGACAGAGAAGCTAGAACATTTAAAATGAGATCAGAATCTCAAAATAGTAAAAAGATTAACTACATGGTCCTATTTTAGTGAAATCATATTTTTGATACTTTAATGGATTATCTTAACAACCAATATGTCATTAACTGTTAGTGTATCTTTTGTGTGGTCAGGCGCCCTCTGCTGTCTTCAGGTTGGAACCCAGGAAGAGAAAAAATATTAACAATGGAACTAACTCATTACCCTCACCACAAATAATCAGTGTAATTGGAAAATTCTCCCATGGGTGGTATAGATGATGTGGTTCTTTGCATGTTTCCCATCTGGAAAAATGGGACTATTTAGCCAGCCCACCTACTACAAAACATTCTTGGGAGAATCAAACAAAATAACAAAAAAGCTTAGAAAAGTTTAGCAAAATACAAACTTAAGAGATTCCGTGTGCTGGGAAGTCACGAATTTGAGCTGGCTGGCAATCATTTCATGTAGCAAAATGAACTGGACCCTGCAACGCGTGAACATTGTACCAGAACACGAGATACAAAACGCAAGACCTGACCACCTGTTCCAGGAGCTTTGGTTCTAACAAGACAGATAAACATGTGATGACACTCCTCAAATGCTTGAAGCAAGGAATGAAGAGGGAGGGAAGAAGGGAGGAGGGGGGAAGGAGAGGAAGGGAAATCAATCTGTTGTTTCACACATTCATCCAGTGTTCTGGACGTCGGAGGGGAAAAGGAAAATCCAGTCTCGTTGCTCCATCGGGGCTGAAAGCAAAATTCTCTCCTTTTTGGGGTTATTTATATAAAGTGTGCTGTTTAATTTCCAAATATTTGGGGACCTTTTCGTCATTTTTTCCAATTTATTTCATTTATTTGAGATCTCTAAGAGTTTACTGCTCTCGGTCTCCTTTTAAATGCATCTTACACATTTTAATATGCTGTGTTTTGATTTTTCATTCAGTTCAGGATACTTCCTAATTTCCCTTTTGAATTCTTCTAATATCCCTGGGTTACTTAGAAATGTGTTATTTAGTTTCCAGATAATGTGGAGATTTCCCAAAGATCTTTCTGAAAAGTTTTGTTTTTCCTCTAACTGCTTGCATGATTTTATCTTTATTCTTATTGCCTGCAGTTTCACTAAGATATATTTAGATATTAATTTCTTTTTATTTATCATGCTTGGGGTTCAGTGGGCTTCGTGGAGCTGGGGACGGCTCTACCATTTTCTCTTCAGAGGATGCTGTTCTTTCTCTCTCTCCTCTTCTCCTGGAGCTCCAGTTAAATACATGACCTCCCTTCTCAATCTCTGTGCCAGGTCTCTTAACTAATCTTCCCCATTTTCCATTTCTTAGTCTCTCTGTGCTGCATTCTGGATAATTCTTTCTGATTTATCTACTAGTTCATGGGTTCTTTGCTCAGCTCCATCAAATCTGTCTTTCTGACAGCCCAGGCAATGCCCTCTGAGGCTCTCAGAACCAAAGTCAAACATGGCAACATTTGCTCATGCCTGGAAGCAAAAGCCATTTGCAGAACCTCCTTTCTACCCAATTATTTTGCTTTTCCTTTCTGTTGGGTTCTGATTTGGTGACACTTTACTCCTTGTTAGTTCTGAAATGTCTTTAAGAAACTCATTCCAACATTTATCCAGCATTTTTAGTTGCTTTGAATAGGAGGGATTGGTCCACATAACCCACAGCCTTGCTTCCTTTTTTTAAGTGGTATTTTTCATTATGTAATTAACACATATTAATTTTTAAAATTTGGAAAACACAAGTCTAAGAAGGAAACTTCAAAGTCGCCCATGGGCTTCCCTCCCACATGCAACCACTCTCAGCATTTGTGGGATTTTCCTGCTGACTGATGGTAAGCAAAGGTCTGAGTTGTCTTTCCCTCATCTGCTTAGCTCCTGTGAGCAGGGCCTCCTTCACTCTTGCTCTTCCCCTGTCTTCTTTATCACTGATGCTCAGAGCATCACATGACAATCAAGGACAGTCTGTAGGTTCGCATCCATTTCGTGTCGACCGTGTCCCATAAACCTACCCAAACAGCCCAGAGTCAGCTTTCCTGAACGCAGTGGTCAGAGGTGCGAGATGAGAGAAAATACAGTAAGAGAAACAGTGCAAATCTGTCCCTAATGATAAATTTGATTTTAAGAAGGTAAAATTCCTTTGCCAAATAGTTGGAGATGTTCGTCATTCTTAAAGTAACTTGATTTTTAAAAATCCCCATAATATCACTATGTTGAGCATCTGGCTCTTGAATCCCAGGAACCAGCTCTGTTTCCAAGCTCAGTCGCCTTGTAGTTAACAACTTACACTGAGGACTGTTTGTGGTATCCCCTTAAATTCCAGCTGCCTGGCTATGAATCTAGATCACACCCACTAAAACCTCCCCGCTCTCAAGAAGGGCTTTTGCTGTCACTGTTCATCCACAAGGCTCTGATCTCAGGCCATCTGGAGGAAGCAGGTGTTAACCCTTCACGGAAGCACAGTTGTGAAACCTGCATTCTGGGCACAGAGCTCACCACATCCTCCTTTCCTTGTCCACACTAGTGAATGATGCAATTAATAGAAAACGTGCAATTAAAGAAAGACCTTCTCCATCAGAGACTCTGAGGGCCGGTTTGTTATAAGACGTGCCCAGAGACTGGGCTGGTGAATTGGTGCAGTGTTGCCCAGTTGTTCAATGACACGCCAGGAATAACAGAGTACCTGATTTCCAGGTTAAGTCAAGATTTTCCCACTAATGGACTTCCTCTAATGGTCCTGAGAATACATTAGAAACCCACTGTGTCAGAATCACCCACGTGCTGTAGCTCTCTTCCCCTAGATTTTAATCTCCCTTCCACCTTGTCTTGTTCACTTTTCTATCCCCAGACAGCAAGGTCACACTATTTGTTAAATGTTCACGAACTATGAGTAAACAGTGAATGCATGAAGTCCCCTCATGACTGACAAGGGCTGCAGAAAGCCTTGTCCAGCTCGGTCAGACAAGGGGAGGAGCTCAGTGGTCAAACATTTTAGGATAGCAAGCTGCACTATACATGGATCATCCATTTCCAAAGAATAAGAACCACACATATTTGAAAACTCAAGTGAGATGCAGGTGGAGATTTAGAAAGGTCCAGCAGAGGAGCATGGGATCGATGAATGA